TCTTATGGGATTATCAAACGTGTTTAGAATAGGTCAATAGAGTCTGGGGTGACTTTCATAAAAGCCCACAAAAGGTTTTTAAGGAAACTACAGCCCCAATTAAAAGTGCCTGCGTGCGCATTACCCAACTGTACGGTCATGGAACGAAAATGGTTAAGAGGCGGCAAACAAAGTATCACCTCTTTTGAGTGTTCATATTTCTTTAGAGAAGTTCTTGATAGGTTGAGTCATTCAGAGGAGAAATGAGAGAATTATTCAGTAACACCAAGTACTTCTGGAAATGAAGTTTATAAATGGACATGAGAGACTGGAGGAACTAGAGACACTGGCCATAACAGCAGATAAATAGCATGACCCTCTAACTCAGCACCTTGAAGAATAAGTCTGCAGGTTTCTCAACATTTGAGGTCAGGATGAAGCTTTGTTACAAGTCATTAACACATATAATTTGAAAGGATGGTTGATCTTTTTTGAAGTAGAGAACATGCAGAATCAGCCCAAAGACAAGTGTGAAAAATGTAATTTGATCATAATAAAGGCTTGACTAGTTAAATTTCTAGAATGCTACACTAAAGTTTTTGCTAAAACTATAAAACGGGCTAATTCTAGAAGTTAAGGCACATATAGGGATCTCTTCGGAAAGGAACTTTTGGACAGCAAATAAAAAATATCTTTTAGACATTCCCCCATTCCTACTTTAGTGGACTAAGGGCACTACAGTTTCAATTAATTTGCTGAAGTCTTCTGTCATACTGTTTTCCATGCTTAGAATGTGTAATGGTAATTTTGGGGGCAATTTTGAACATTATTCAGATATTTTTATGCTGGCATAGCTTAAAATTAATTGCAAGTGTAGCCAACACATGTAGTATGGTTCATTGTCCCCTGTAGTGCCACTTAGACAATTATAGCAAAGAGATAAGAATAAGTAAACTCTACAGCCCAAGTGGAGAGCTAGCTACCTTTATAACTCAAGCTAAAGGGGCTACTGCACTTAGCTCTAGAGGTCCCAGGTTTGAATCTGCCTGTCAGTGGTTACATAAACATCTCATGTGATAACTATACTACTGTGAAGTTATGCTGAAGTGTATTTCTCCACTGTTGTCATTATTTAGATACCAGAGTGTCTGCCAAAGATCAGTCTCTACATGAAGAAAAAAATTCCAAGCAGACTGAAGCAATGCCAGAGGAGAAAACACATGAAAGAACTCTCTCAAACACTCTCCCACATCGGCAGATTTTTGTCAGAGGGTTTGACACCATGGCATCCTATCCGGTCCATCAAGGGATTCGATTAACCAGGGAAAACTAGTAACTAAACTTGCTCTTTCACTTCTGGCTTACTCTCTTCATCTTATATGGGGAGCTGGCCAAAGTGACACATTTACTACCTCCCGATTACTGTCATTTCCTGTAGCTGAAGATAAATATGAATGAAATGTGGTGTTTTCTTCCTCTGCACTTCATTCCACTGCACGTATGTTAAACCCTGTGTTCTGGTCCACTACCAACCCTTAATAGGAATAATATAGATATCACACTCTAGAACAAAGTGCAGGAATGAACTTGAATTGAGAAAAAAGTGTAAAATAGATAAAGCATTAGTGTCAATGGACTCAGATTGCAAGTCTATGGGTGGCTATTTTTGTGCCCTCTTAGGAGCTTTCCCGAATTATTTTGAGGAGAGTAACCACTACCAATACTTTATAACACACAGCCACTGTACTATCAATAAGTGGTTTGTTGCTTGGGCAGCATCAGCTCATCAAGGAATGGCCAAATCGATGATGAAACTGAGCAAGACAGAGGTCCTGCAGATGGGCAAGAGGAGAGTATTCTGGAGGGGTTTGCAGCCATGATACTGTATCCTTTGGATGGAGGTATACACCCACCATTGGTCAATTCAGTCTATAGTTGGAGAGCTCCTGCATTCCTCATCCAACCCCTAAATATTCACATGGCAACCACGACTATGTGAGTAATGCTTTCTGATATCTCTCTAGCTGGCTAGGGAACCATCCCAGTTGACAGCTTCACTGTGGCTAGGTCACACTTCAGTTACTTCCCATCTGGACTACAATACAACATACTGGGCATGAAGTCTTTAATTTGTTGGAAGTTTCAAGTACTGGAAGTTCTGCAGTTAATCTCCTCAGCAACACAAGATACAGCAAGTACACATGTGAGATACCTGTTCTCTCCTCTCCACGCTCACTTTACACAGCATATTGAATGAAGTTCAACATCCCAGTCCTTATTTTCAAGGTGCTCAATGGCCTACGTAAAAGATTTGTAGAAAGGTTACCTAAAGCTCTAGGCTGAAACCATGGTTGACAGCTTGTTCCTCTAGCACAACAGTTCTCAACCTGAGTCAGGACTCCAAAGTGGGTCACAATCCCCTTTCAAAGAGGTCACCAGGGATCCCTTAGACTTGCTGGATCCTGGAACTTGAGCCCAAGCCTCACTGCCCAGGGCCAAAGCCAGAGGTTACGTGTCCTCTGCCTGGGAGCTAAAGGCCTTGAACTTGAGCTTTGGCCTCCTTGTCCAGAGCAATAGGGCTCAAGCAATGGTTCCCCCCAACCTAGGGTGACTGGGTTTGGGCAGACTTAAATTTCAGTCCCCCACCCCTTCCGAAGGCCACAAAGTAATATTTGTTATCTGGAGTGGGTCACAATGCAAAGTTAGAGAGCATTATGGCACTAGAGCAGGAGTTCTCATCTCATAAGTGTAAAGCAGGTGTATGCACAAGATAGTAGAATGAATGCCTCAGGAACACTCTCAGACTACCCTCTAAGCCAGAAGACTCCAAGCTTTTTAAGCACAAGATCACTTAGAATCATAGAACACTAGAACTGGAAGTGATCTCGAGAGGTCACTTTTTGCATTTAAGTGCAGTCCAAGATCTACCTCAAACCTAAATGCCCTTTCCCCACCACCTTTGTGCCCTCTGAGGCCTTGCCCCTGCTCACTCCATCCTCCCTCCCTCTTCCATCCTCCCTCATTTTCACCAGGATGGGGGTACAGGAGGGGGTTCATGACTAGGGTAGGGTTTCAGGATGTGGGCTTACCTCAGGTGGCTCCTGGGTGATGGTGCAGTGGGACTAAGGCAGGCTCACCCTGTCCTGGCCCTGCACCACTCCCAAAAGCAGCCAGCAAACTCCAGCCCAAGACCAGCTGTGCCCCCTCTCTGCTCTGTGGAGATAGGATACAGAGTGGGAGGGGGGCATCCTGACATCAGTGCCCCTCCTCTTCTTCCCCTGCCCTGCCCAGCGAGCAGGAGGCTCCTGAGGGGACAGCTCCAAGGCAAGGGGCAGGAGATGTGCAGCAATGGAGGGGAAAAGGGAAGCTGAAGTGCTGGCACTTGATAGCCTCTTGGAGAAACCAGTTGGGATCACCTGTCAGAGGCTCCAAGATCTATCAGTAGATCCCAATCTACTGGTTAGTGACCACTGCTCTAAACAAATTCTAAGACCATCAGAAATCTTAACATTTTTCTTTTACCTTACTCTTTAACACACACGTAGTGTGTAACAGATGATTCCAGGATTAGTTGCACATGCATCCCCCAACAGAGGAATCCCCTCCAGTTTCCAGTTATTTACCCATCATCTCTACATAGGCAGGGAACCAGCCTTCCTCTTAACCCAGAACAGAGTTTTAGGTTTGTCACCTTACAATATAAAGAAAAGCATTAGAGAGAAATCCCAACAATGTACACCCATACTGTGTTGCCCATCATCTTCCCATGTGATCCTGGTAGATCTGTACACAAAGTACACACAAAGTTCTTTTTCCACAGCATGTTATCCCTGAGTCAGCTCAGGCTAATTTTGGTACCATTTTTTGTTCTCTATCACTTTTTGTCTGCTGAGCCTCTTGAATGCTGTCTGACCCAGTAGAAGCAATATCCCCTTGAGGGTTATATTACTCACTAGGGATTCCAGATGTCATAGGAAACACACAGGAAGCAAGAAACACAAAGATTACTTGTTGCGCTAATAATCTGTGAGCCCACAGCATCAGTACATCTTAATAGAATAGTCTATGTTTCCACTTCCCTCCCTAGTTCTCCCATCTCATAATTACCACCACCACCACAGCAAAAAACCAACCACCACCACCACCCACCCACGATATTTCACACTATCCTCCCACAGGAGTCAGAACACCCCCACGCCATCCAGATCTGGGGAAGTGCATCTCAAAAGCTTTTTCCACCCTGGGTGACAACACTTCTAAGACTGGCCCTATCCACAGTTTTCAAATTGTTCTCCCAAATGAGTGTTAAAATCCACCGGGAGGGATTCTTCTCCCCACTGCAGGCCCTGTACTTTACTGCACCTGTTTATAGACTCACAAAAACCCTTGCTCCTACTTCACCCTAGACCAGGATGGGAAAACTAAAGCCCATGGGCAGTGTCTGATCTGGCAGACTTTTTAATCCAGCCCTTGAGCTCCCAGTAGGGAGCAGGTTGTGGAGACTTGCCCTGCTCTGACTACCCAATCGTACCTAGCACAGCAGCATGCCTTCCCAGTCTCCTATGGCCTCACCCTCTAAACCACCTAGGGGCTGCATCCATCTCAGCTACAGTGCCTTAGTCTGTCTGTGGTGGTGCCTAGTATAGTCACCTTGGTGTTATTGCCAGTGGAGCCTTTAGGAGTCCCTGGTAATACCTCTGTCAAGCTGTCCCTCCCTCTCACCACACCCAATGAGTTTCCTGCCCCCAGCCCTCAGTGACATCCCATACACCACCCCATGCATTGTCCCACCCCACAATTTCTAGGCCAAAAAGTTTGCCCCTGCCCTAGACAGTCTCTGTGTTTTGCCTCACAGAAGTGCAACACTGCATTCCAACCAGTTATTTATGCATAACACACACAGGCATGAGTACACTGCACTCAAAAGTAATGAATGTTATGCCTCCGACTAATCTTTTGAGTCAGAGCTAATATGCACTTACTGTCCAGATAGATACACCAGAAACAAGATCAGAACATACCTTTGTGCATTTTTACAGGCTGCCACCCTTCGTAGAGCATCCCAGAACTCATCTTTAAAGCAGCAACCATGCCCTCCTTGAAATTCTCCACAAGAGCCTCTTCTGCTGTGATGTAAATGCTAATTGCCACCTGATAATGGCTTGATGGTTGCCTAGTCAAAGATAGACACAAGATACTGATATTAAATAAAAAGTCTAGAGCCTGTAAGCAGTGCATTAAGCAAGATACTGTGCCTCTTTATTCCCAGTGCCCTTCTTCTCCCCACTTCATTCCCTCAGTTTGTTTTACAGCAACTTATGTTACCTTACTGTGACACCGAAAGGAAAGATTACTGTTTATAGTGGTAAGTATTAGACAAACGTGGTTTGATAATTGTGTCAGACTAACAATTTAGACTGAAGGTTTTCATGCAGGGAGATGTGGAACATGGGTTGGAGACAGACTTGTCTGTATGGCACAAAAAGTCAGATACCATTATTGTTCTCCTGCCTCACTTTCTACCAAGTGCGTTGACAAAGATTTCATGGTTTTGACCATAGTCTTCTTGAAAAAGCCACTAAGAATCTCTCACCCTTGCATTTGTTTTGTCCAGTTTTATCACATAAGTGCTGTCTGAGGGATTGCCTGTCTCAGATATTGTGACACCTTATGCAACACTTAAAGTGAGAAATACCACCTTTTGAAATTAAAAGCTATTTCTGGCTATGTTCTTTGCCAGACTAGACATCCAGTTTCATGGGGCTTTTACTGAAGAGTTCTTTCATGATAGAATTTGAAAACAAGGGTTTCACTCATAAAAATAACATTACATTTGCTTTTAGTTCTACAGAAGCTGAGTCTGAGTATCAGCCTATCGATGCATTAAAAGCTACACTGTACGTCTAAAAGTGTAGATTACCGGTGTATTTAATTTTTAGTATGATGCATAATTTTTCCAGATATTAGAGACCTTTTTTTAAAAAATGTGAATCAATGCTGAAAATGTAATTTTGATAGATAGATGCAGAGAACTTGCGAATAGGAGACTTTGAACACCATTTCTTATCTTTGTAGAACTTTTGTTCTCTGTTCTTCCAGGTTTACAGCAAAGACACTCAGGTTTCCTTCAAAACAGGACAGTTGAGTATGAAATTGTATATTAACAGTGAATCAGTGTGGGTTCAAATCTAGCCAGTGTTAGTTTCAGCTAACTCTGAGAGGGCTTGTGCTTAATAATGAAGACCAATGTTTGCACAAAATGAGAAATTAGCCTGAAATTTCATTCATGTTATGAGAGCTGGATTCCTAGGCATTTCCTGCACATTCAGAGCTAGTAACAAAGTCCTCAATTAGCACTAGAGGGCATTGGAGAAGAAAAGAGGGTTAGTGTGCAGTCGGATGCAAATGCTGTTAGCAATGAAAAGAAGCAATTTCATGCCAGCCTGCACAGACAAGGTTCCCCATCCCCCTTTTCTTTTTAAATGTAAGATATTTGCATTTTAAGCGATGCTCGAATGTTAGCAACAGGGTTTCACTATTCACTTCTACTAACAGACCTACCTATATTCTATCTTCTGGCTGACAAGAACAGGAATATGGTGATTGGTTAGACTCTGAACATGAGATAACAAAATACTCAAGTGCCGATTCGGGGCACTGCCCACCCCATCCCCAGGGCCATTTTCATCTGTGGCCAAATTTGATGCTTCAAGGGGATTGGGGACAAGAAAGGGAATCTCATCCTGGTGGCTGGCTGAAACCCCAAAGCATGAGCATTTAGGAACACAAGACACACTTGAAGTGAGCCCCAACACTGCTGAGCCCTGCCCCTACCATCATGAAGCAAACCCATCGTATAATCACACTCATATTTGCTTAGACTTTAATTTTTAAAACAGATATTTGCCCCACAACTCCTACTGAGAGACTGCACCAGAACCTCATGCCTCTGATGGGTGGAAAAAACTTTAAATTTCCAGCCTGAAATTGTTCATGGCCAGTTTATTTCAAAATTTGTTCAGTCAACCTAATCCTTCAGTTTCAATAACTCTTCACCCTCCCAGGTATTTATTCTCCTGATTGCTCTCTCTCTTATTAGCCTTTCCCCCCCTAAATTCAAGAAGTCAAGCTCTTCCAGTCTCACTATGTATCTAGGTCCTCCAGTCCCCTGGTTATCCTAGAAGCATTCTCTGTACCTGTTTCAGTTTGATCTCATCTGCTGTGAACATGAGTGAACAGAACTGTACACAGTAATGAGGTCTGGGGTGGGGGTTACCAAAAAAAATTAATTGGTAGCAGGTTTAAAGTTTAAAAAAGGAAGTTTCTTCATGCAGCACAGTATCAACCTGTGGAATTCCTTGCCAGAGGATGTTGCGAAAACCAGGACTTTCACTGGGTTTAAAAAAAAAAAAAAGAGCTAGATTAAATTTATGGAGGTTAGGTTAATTGAAAATTAGCCAGAATAGGATCCCTAGTCTCTCTTTGTCAAGGGCTGGAAGTGGATGACAGGGGAGAGATCACATGATTACCTGTTCTATTCACCCCCTCTGGGGCATCTGGCATTGGCTACTGTCAGAAGACAGAATACTGGTCTGGAGGGACCTTTGGTCAGACCCAGTATGGCCATTCTTATGTCTTACCTGGAGTGAAAGTAAGTGTTGGAACTTCCCGGTATATTGGAAAGGGTTTGGCAAGGAAGGGGTAGCACTGGGTTCCCAGAAGGTGCAGGACCTTGGGCAAAAGGGTTGAGGGCCAGATTGCCCCAGCCAACCCTTCATGGCCACCACTGGCCAAGAGCATCGGGGCTGTGGCATGGGTGGCTAGGAAACCTGGGATTCTAGCAGCAATTTGAAACCTGCACTCCCAGCTGCTGTAGTGGCTGCTGCAGCCAGGACCCGAGTCCTTATAAACTGTCAGGCCCCAGGGCAGCTGTCTCTTTGCTCCCTCCATCTTACCCTCTCCCCCCTGCGCCAATCAGTGGCCCTGTCAGTAGGATCTGGCAGTGCTTTAACATCAGCTACATATGGACCAGTACCAGCAACCAGTCCTTACCAGTGCACCTTACCATCCCACTTCCATCTCTGGGTCTCATCAGTACCTTGAACAATGGTATTAATACATCAGCCTCTATTGAAAGTGTCTTGTCTGTTGAGATCCTAGGATCTCATTTGCCTTTTCATGGCCACATCAAGTCATCCAAGACTCAAATTAAATGCATTGCCAAATTATCACCCAAAGGATACAAGGAAAAATATTAAGTAAGATAATGCAGAGTCTTAAAGGATATAAGAAAGAATTTTAACAAAGGCCTTAGATCATAGGACCAGGATCCTCTGAAAGAAAACTTGTTATAAGTGGTACTGCACTTTAATGAAAATTGCAGCTTATTTTTAAATATTCTCTAGTATTTTGAAACACCCAGTATGGTCTCAGATGTTTTGGGTTAGTTACTTACCTAACTAGTAACATGGATGCAATTTTGTTTTGAACTACAAGAGCTGCTAATAGGGCTGGGGAATCACAGAAAGAGTATACAACAAATGGATTTACTTTGCATCAGAGGACAAGCTTTAAATAAGTTAATGGCCTTCTAGACCCACGTTAGTGGATTAGATGCTTCATAGATGGTTAGCAAGTTATTCTGTGGTATATTATGTAGCATTTTTACTGCAGGATTACTTATGTGGTAAGCAATGGCACTTTAAAATGGATTTCCTTTTATTTATACTCATCACAACACTTCATTGGCAAGAATGTGTATCCCATATTCATCAATTTTATCAGCAGCAAGAAGAGGGAAGGGAGAAGGTGTGCACATGACTTGTACAGTGGCAGAGCTAGAATTAAAACCCCACATTTCTTGACTGCAAGCCATGTGTACTTATGCAGAGACGACAAAAATCCCAATTCTGAGATTTCTTCCAGAACCTTCTACTACCAGATTTCTCTGTACCTATTGACTAATCAACTGCATCAGTCACTGTCTGTCCAGCCTGATCTGAAGCCACAGTCAAACAAACCTGTATGTTATCAAGATGGGACCATTTAAATCCCCTTTGGAGCTTTTATACATTGCACTGCTTCCCTCCCTCCCCCCGCAACTGTTGTCTTAAACTGCACGGTCATCCAAGCATAGACCTTTGGAGCTTTTATACATTGCACTGCTTTCCTCCCTCCCCCTGCAACTGTTGTCTTAAATTGCACGGTCATCCAAGCATAGACATTTATAACTGTGCACTACTTCACTCATTACAGGCACTTCCATGAACAAAAATATATTTAAGACTTGAGCAGACATTCCCTGCTCAGGGAACAGAGTGCAGGTTCAGGGCCTACATTTATGTGTTCATAAACAGCTATTAGTAAACTGTTAACTGACTGCTTAGGTCTTACATATAACCTTAGAGATAGCACCCATGAGCAATTGGAGGTTTGCAACCAATGGATGCTGAGATTTAAATGCCCACTGCTGTTGCATAGCAAACACCACAACAGGGCTAAAAAAAGTAACTTAAGTAAAAGTAAATTAATTAAAAAATGAGACCGTGAAAGTATATTGATAATCTCCATCAGGAGATTTTGAAAGGTGGTGTCATCCCCCCTCCCCCCCAAAAAAAGAGGAAAGGGATCAGGCTAGTTGTTACAGTGATGTTTCCAATTTATGTTGGCAGATTCAGGTCACTTGGTTTATACTGTTATGCCTTTATACAGCCAGTCAACTGATGACAAAACTAGCTACAGTACATGAAGATTAGTAGAAAAGTGACATTTACTGTGCAGCATGTTGAGACAATGAAATATCTGCCATCTGTGAAATCGTTTGTTCAAATAGTAATTAAATTAGCAAAGATTGTTAATATGAGAAGATGCTGTATCATATTACAGTCAGTCATGGTTTGGACTGGATTTAATGAGGGCCATTCCCCTAGTCCAAACCAGGACTTATCAATACATTGGAGTAAAAAAAATGGATGTTAAGGAAATCTAGAGGATTACAGTTCTGTGGCTATTCAGAATGGTCTGTATTTTTTGTTATCATTAGTGTCTTGGAAAGCAGATTATTTATGTGGATAAAACTGGTATAGGAAGACAGTAAGTTCTGATATTCCTTAAATGGCAATCCTGCATTTGATTTCACACTCAAGACAACCTCTAGCTTAGGCTCTAAAAACC